GGGGAAGTTCTGCTTTAAGGCCTCCTCCCCTGCTTCTCTTTCAGTGTGGCTCTTTTGAGAATGGGGGGGGGCGGGTAACCAATTTTGACAGGTACCTTCTCCCACCACCTAGGCTACAGGTGTCAAACTGGCTGCCCTCCAGTTGTTGCCAAACTACAAGTCCCATGAGGCATTGCAAGATTGGCAGTTACAAGCATGACTCCCAAAGGCAGAGGCATGATAGGACTTGTAGTTTTGCAACAGCTGGAGGACCACCAGTTTGACACCCCTGACCTAGGCGATTAGAAGCAGAAGTTTTCCTCTCCCACTTCAAACCCAACCCCCCACATACCATTATTATTTATTAGCTCATTGCTAATTTCTTCTTGACACTCTTGGCTTTCCCTGTCCATAGGCACAAATATGCACGTTCACCTAATGTGAATTTGCATGTTTGTAAAAATCATGGTTAGTAACTTTTGTGCATGCATGGATGTCTGTAGATTGCTTTTGAATTCCTTTAAAAGGTTGGATGCATCCTGAAGAGCCTGAGAGACAGCCAGGTTATTGTAGCAATGGTGGGCTAAGGGCATCTTTAATGTAGAACTAAAAACAAAAAAAAAAAAACAAACGTCTGTGTTTGTTTTGTTTTGTTTTTTTTTATTTTGGATAGAGTAAAATGGGTTACAAGGTTTGTTTTAACTGTCTTTGTACCATTGGCGACATTTTTCTTCACTTCCTGTCTCATAGCCAAAACAGGAAGTGGAAGAAAATCCTCCAAAGTGAGGATTACCTGGTTGTTACCAGAAATGGTGTCCCCATTGGAAGATATCCCCATTATCCCTGTTCTAGGAACAAACCATGTACGATTCTCTTTTACGTTCAACTTCAGTGATGATGGTAAATAGGACATGTAAAGAAGGTAATGCTCCCTAACAGGATAACGGACCACAATAAAAACCTGACAGGTGTTCTAATCGCTCTCCACTCTATCCAAGACTTTAAAAAAAAATAAAAAATGTTTTGCCTTTTAGCTATGCTTTTGTGTTTTTAAACAAATACTTTTTCTCTAGTTTTGGATTGTTCTAAAAGGTTAAAGTGGTAGTAAACTCCGCTTGATCACTGATACCTACAGGTGAACTTATAATGAAGCTTAGCTGTAGGTAGAAGGAATATCTCCTAAACATGCACTGTTTAGGAGATATTCACTGTTTCTGCAGCCGGTGACGTCACTGGTGCATGCACACTGTATAATGAAGGGACGCTATACTGACTATACCATCCCTTCAGAGTGCTGTGCTACAATCATGGCTCCCGCACACATGCTGTCTTCGCAGCTCAGCCATTCAAATGTCCGGAGCTTGCAGACCCAGGAAGATGACCAGGTGAAGGTGGAAGCCCTGGCAGCGGTGACAGTGTGCTGCTGGAGTGCTTTGTTTAAGGTAAGCCTTTCATAATATGCTAGTAGGCAGTTCTACTAAAACATTGACATTAACTTGCAGGAGGAAGGAGCTTTTTTTTTTAAGTTGACTTTACTACCTCTTTAACCGCCTCCCCGCTGCTCTATAGCAGATATACTGCTACCGTATATAAACGTGTTTTTGTATGTCTGGGTAGGGGGCGCTCGCCCCTACCCGCGCTGCCAGCCGCAGCTATCAATCACCGGGTCCCGGCCGGTAATTACCGAGCATCTCCAACAAGGAGGAAGACTGTTTTGCTTACTAAAAGTCTTCCTCCCTGTCGGCTCGGGCACACTGCACTGCATGGCTGTGGACAGCCATCCAGAGCAGTGTGCTTACAGTGAAGCACACCCCCCGCCCCCTAGTAAAACACTCCCTACACAGTTAATCATTTGCCCCTCATATTAACCCCTCGATCTCCCCTTATATTAACCCCTTCCTGCGCAGTGCCATTAGTACAGTATCAGTGCTTTTTTTTTTTTTTTTTTTTTTTTTTAATATATAGCACTGATTACTGTTTTGGTGTCACTGGGGATATCAATGACACAGCCAGTTTTCCCCAGTGTCAGAATGTCTGCCGCAGTCTCGCTAAAAGTCACTGATCGCCGCCATTACTAGTAGAAAAAAAAAATCCCAGTATCTATACTGCCATTTGTAAACGCTACAACTTTCACGTAAACTTACATTAATTTACACGTATTCTAATTTTTTTTTTTTTTTAGCAAAGACGTCACAGAATACATTTTGGCGTAAATTTATGACGAAATTTGACTTTTTTAATTTTTTTTTTAGCTGGACATGTTTAATAGCAAAAGGTCCAAAATATTGTTTTTGGTTTTGTTTTTTCTCTCAATTGTCGGTCTTTTTTTTTTTTTTTTATATAAAAACTGTTCAGGCGATCAAATACCACGAAAGAAAGCTCAATTCTTGGGGGGGAAAAAGGACATAAATTTTATTTGGGTGCAGCGTTGCATGACCGCGCAATTGTCAGTTAAAGTAACACAGCGACGTAATGCAAAAAATGACCTGGTCAGGAAGGGGGGTAAATCCTCCTGGAGGGCAAGTGGTTAAGACCTCTGTCAGGTTTGTAATGCTGTCTGTCTCTCTACCAGGGAGATTTACTCTCTCTGCTTATCTTGGTGACCACAGACACTATCACAGAAAGCATATGAGGAGGGGGTTTCCCTCATTTTGGTGATATTTTATGTACAAGACAGGGAACACAGATGGCAAAACCGGTCAAATTTCCGTACAGCTTTAAGCAGAGCTCCACTCAAAGGGAAAGATTCTCCTTTTAAGGCCTCCCCCCCCCCCCTGCTCCTCTTTCAGTAATGGCACTTTTGGGGAGGGTGGGGGAGCAGGTATCTCAACATTATCAGATTGCCTAGGCGATCAGAAGCAGACATTCTCCCTCTCCCCACCAAACCCAGCCCCTCACCCCATTATTATTTATTAGTTAAGTGCTATTTTCTCCTTGACCATGGCACTCTCGGCTTTCCTCATCCAGTGGCAAAATGGACAGCGGTTTAAACATTCTCTATTAAACCAAAACAGGAACAAAGCCCCCAAAGGACCGAAGTTATTCATTCAGCTTCCTAAAGTCATATTGTTTTCCTAATTAAGCTATTAGAGCATTTTCTATTAGTAGAGCTAAGCACATGCATAGCTTGTGTTATTTGATACACATGACTCCACCACTATTCTTCTCCGGATGGAGATAAAAGTAAAGAATTTTCAGCTACTCTGTTTTAAAGTGTTTTTGTGCAGCTGCATCAATTAGTGACATCCGGAATTAAAACAATTACTCCAAGCAACCAGATGAGGACAATCATCAAGCTATTAAAGCTCACCTTTTGGACAGAAATACTAAATGCATGATTTTATGCAGGTAAAAAAAATATGAATTTATTATTTTTGTCCAAAGGAGCCTGTAAAATATTGCACCAGCGATCAGTAGATCACTGATACCATGCAGGTCTCCTGCTGTCAGAATATCTGTTTGCAGTATGGGATATACAAGCAAGCAGATATATACGGACAGGAAGTTTCAATGAACTACCACACCGCTCCACAGCACCATTGCAGTTCATTGAAAACTACAAGCCCACAGCCACTAAGGCTGTCAGGACTTGTAGGCAGTCATTCACAGAACACTAAATGAGTGACAAGGCCGTGTGGGCGGAGACCTGCATGGCCACGCTGTTTTTAAATCTGACAGTACAGGGAAACTTCTCCCTGTACGATCTGTCAGAGGGAGGGGGCCGGCGGGAGTGGCTTTGGCTATAGGGGAACATGTTACAAAGGTGAACTTATCCTTTCATGCTATCCAGCAAACTGTGCCACAATAAAATCAATCCATTAATCTGGGGAATGGTTTGGGGGTCAGTCTTAATTTGGTTTATATTTTTCTATACTGATATTTAATATCTGTATTTTATACAGATACAAATAAACATTTGATAAATGACCAAGTGTTCCCAAAGCAAAATGGATTATCCAAAGAGCTAAGCTAAACTGCTAATACCTTTTCTCATCAGTTAGAGCAGTCTTGTGACTTCTATCAGTGTCCAGCAGAGCACTGGTTAAAGCTTGTAGGAGGAGTTTTCATTCTGCTCTAGGAGAATGCAGAACCCCTGACCTCTGTCTGGACAATGCTGATTAACCCTGTGCTGATCACATGTACTCTCCCAAGGGGAAAAAAAACCTCTCCAGCAATACACACCAAACTGAGCACATGCAGAGTGACTCCACACGATATGTCTTATCAGAAGATAAGAGGGGGACACTGGAAGAAGGGGAGGATCAGAGAAGTCAGGATTAAACAGTTGTTATACAATGTAGAGGATTAACCCCTTAGGTTCCACAGTGAGTATAACAAACATGCTTTACTGCATATATAGATTGATTTGACCTTTTGTGGGTTTAGTAACACTTTAATCAGCTGGATGAGAGACACTGGTTCTCGGACTCGTGTACCTGTAGGCTGTCCAATAATGTTTTTTACAAAAATGTCGGCAGCACCTCAGGATCTTTTAAATAAAAATTAGAAAAAAAAAACTTGGAACATGGTTAAAATCCATACATGCAGACCTGCTAATGCATTTCACTCTTATCAGCCTTAGTTATAGCGGTCGGTAAGACCAATAAGGTTGAAATGCGTTAGCTGTTCTGTATGGATTTTACCCTGATGTTCTTACAAAGTATATAAAAGTATGGAAGATTCTGCTATGGTGCAGTTTTTTTTTTTGGATACATACAGTTGATAAAGAATGGCCTACTCTGACTTATTTGTGTATATTTTGTATCCTGAACTGTGTAATTCTCAGGCATATTATATCAGGTGATAAGGAGACAGAGGAACTTTTGGAAAAGGAGCCTCAAGCTCCACCAGCTTCAGTATTTTAAAGTCTGAAGATCTGAGTTATGAGGCCATGCTGTTCGTATGCATTTCATGGCTTTATTTGCAATTTTGCAGAGTGTTTTAAAAAAAAATGTTTCAGTGCTCTTTACAGCATTATTTCCAAGCTGCTAGCAAAATAAAATACAATGTGTTCTTTTTAGGTATGGTATACGCCCAGAGCATGTGATCATCTATGGCCAGAGTATAGGAACTGTCCCATCTGTGGATCTGGCTGCTAGATATGAAAGTGCTGCTGTGATTCTACATTCTCCCCTTACCTCTGGGATGAGGGTAGCTTTTCCTGATACCAAGAAAACTTACTGTTTTGATGCATTCCCCAAGTAAGTAACTTTTATTTCTTTTAACCTTGCTCCTGATGGATGTTTTTTCCAGGCAAATGTGACCGCTAATCTTATTTAAAGAGCTCATTGACTATTCCTGAGACCTACCCATCCCTGTTAACAGTAACATTTATATGTTCTGCTTTCTTTCATTCAGCAAAGACTGCTTTTCTTGGTGGGAGTTTGCAGAATAGTTGGGACATAATGAAACTTTGCAGCATTCACAATTTTATTAAATCAGCAGGGGCACTTTTGTGACATCAGGGCACACTCCAGATTGTCACAATAGAACACCAATGTTTTTTACAAGTTAAGTCTGATACCCTGAACTTCAGTCTGAACAAGGGGCGGACTGACCATTTGGAAACTCGGGCACTGTGTCAGTAGGGGGCCCCATGAGATGCCCCTGGTACCTTTTTTCATAGGCTTTTTTTTTAGTTTGGGCAAGGACACGGGCCCCATGAGCTGCACAGGAAGATGGCTGCCTGAGACAGGAGCTCCTCACAAACCCTGCTGTAATAGCAACCCGAAACGACATCAGGCATCAGAGATAGCCGTGACATAAACAGCAACAGACCTCAGACCAGTAACACTTACCACCCGCGATGACAAAGGGGAAGAAAATCACTAAAGGACCGAAGAAACTCAAAGTTCTTCTCACAGCCTCACACAGCAGACAGGCAAGATGGCGCCGGCTCTAACACACAGGAACTGTCAGAGCTGCAACAGGAAGATGCATCATTATCCTCATCAGCCTCTGATACAGATATAGCTGATCCTCTGTCACCAGTGAAAGAAAAGAGCAAGAGACCAGCTTCATCTCCTCTCCTATCACCGTGTACAAAGGCTCCTGTAAGTAAAAAGAAAACAATTCACACTTCTGCTGAAACAACAGATCTGACTGAAGCAATACATTTAATGGCAGAGCTGCCAGCTTCAGACTCCCCTGTCACAGCCATTACATGAAACATATAAATATAAGGTGCAGCGCTATACCTAAGTGCACTAAATAAATAAATATAAAGTGCAAAGTAACTTTTCAAAGTGCTCTAAATATTACCACAAGGTACTATACTTTATGTGCAAAAATACTGTGCAACCCGTGTATTACAAAAGAATACAAATAAAGTGCAATTAGTGACAAACCAAATCACTGCAACATTTGTTATACATATTAATGAATCCAAATAAATAGTTTTTATAAAATAAAATAAATAAAAAAGTGTCCAAATGCAACATAAACACTTTTCAATCTTCGTGCATGTGTCACACGTGTCCACACTGTGTAAATCCAAACTTTAGCCGTGATGGCCCCTCACCTCCTTGTCATGACCCCACAGGGTCAGCTCGCTTAAAACAGGATACCACTTTTTAGTAGCTCACCAGGACCTCACCCGCCTCTTATACTCTCTCAGCAGTCTCCTCCACGATTCATATACAGACACAAAAGAGACTCACATAGTGTAATCCTGTTTTAATTTGTGTAGTAAATGTAAAATAAAATTGCCCACTCACATTTATGTTCATCTCCTCATAAGCCTTCAATCCCCCATGCTATGAATCTCCTGCATGGGTATTTCAATAGAGGGATTTCAAATATGGCCACCACGCCGGAAATGACGTCACCGCGCTCCCAGAATCATCCTCGCGTACCGACGCGTTGCGTCACGGTAACACGTGACTTCCTCAGGGAGTCGTGACAAGGAGGTGAGGGGCCATCACGGCTAAAGTTTGGATTTACACAGTGTGGACACGTGTGACACATGCATGAAGATTGAAAAGTGTTTTTGTTGCATTTGGACACTTTTTTATTTATTTTATAAAAACTATTTATTTGGATTCATTAATATGTATAACAAATGTTGCAGTGATTTGGTTTGTCACTAATTGCACGTTATTTGTATTCTTTTGTAATACACGGGTTGCACAGTATTTTTGCACATAAAGTATAGTACCTTGTGGTAATATTTAGAGCACTTTGAAAAGTTACTTTGCACTTTATATTTATTTATTTAGTGCACTTAGGGGTATATAGCGCTGCACCTTATATTTATATGTATTCACTCATGTTGGTAAGGAGTATTGTGTCAGCAGCTTGGTGAATAGGGCCCCATTTCTAGCGCAGGAAGTTCTTGCATTCACATTACATGAAACAGATGCTATTGTCCCTTCATAAAGACATACAATCTGATCTTCAAAAATCTGTACATTTTATTCAAACACAAGTCGCCCAAATTGAAAAACATACAGATGCAGCTGCAAGGAAAAATTCAGGAATGTGTTGTAGCACGCAATTCCTTGATAGATGCTTATGAGACACAATAACAAGAAATCATAAAAATTAAAGCAAAAATGGCTGACTTGGAAGACCGCACAAGGAGGAATAACGTTAAAATCAGAGGGATCCCTGAATCAGTCACTCCACCAGAGTTATCGATCTACCTGGGGAGACTACTGAAAACACTTCTACCAAACATGTCACAATCGGAGCTCATTATTGATAGAGCCCATAGACTGATGAAACCTAAACATCTGCCAGATACCGTCCCTAGAGACATTCTTGCCAGAATACATTTTTTTTCATGCTAAGGAAGCACTCATGATAGCTATGAGAAAACTTAAAACACTTCCAGCTCCATATGAAAAATTTGCTATATTTTTGGACATATCAGCCTATACCGCACAAAAACACAAAGAATTCAAACGCATCACGTCAGCTCTAATAACCCATAAAATAAGATATCAGTGGGGATATCCCACAAAAATCTTAGCCAACTTTCAAGGGAAATTAATCCCAATTCTGACTCCTGATGATAGGATAAAAATTCTGGCATCATGGAATATCGCTATACCAGCAGAGCCGCAATATATGTGTAAAGAAACGCACACCAAAATATCCGCAGACTGGGTTACAATCCCGGCAACCTGAACACTGGGACTTTTGGTCTCTTATCTTTTTCCTATTGGGATGTCTCAGTGCCTACTTCCGCATTAGCAGGGAAGAGTTAGCCGCTATACTTCTCAGGTATACTACACACTCCACCAGATAATGAGTCTGCTATGCACACTCATACAAGTTTTTGGTTTGTTGATGTTTTCTTACGCTTCTTACTCTTTTTTATATTCTTACTATGCTTATTACATTCTCCTTATCTTCATATTCAGATAACATTTCTATTAAAGAATACATCTCAAAAACCAGATACCCTTCAGAGCATGGGGAGGGATGATCAGTGCTGTGCTTGGTACCTACAACTTATAACTACAATACTAGCTACTTTAGAGAAATTATATAAAACCCAAAAATGGTCATCATAATGTCCTTTAATGTTTTAAGGGACTTAATAGCCCTTACAAACGCACATCTCTATGGAGAGAATCTTTAAAAACCAGATGTGATATACTGTGTGTACAAGAAACACATTTTAAAAAAATTAACCCACCTACATGCAAACATAGGAAATTCACACAATACTATTTTGCAAATGCTAATAAAAAAAACAAAGGAGTAATGATTGCAATAAAAGACACAATAGCTATACAAATTCAATCAATATTCTCAGACCCACAAGGTAGATATATTATCTTAGTTGCACATATCGACAATTTCTTAATGACACTGGTAAATGTATATGCACCAAAGGACATAAAACCTTCTTCCAAAGCTTCTCATACATCAAAATTAAACTACTAAGACAAGGAGCTTTAATCATTTGCGGAGATTTTAATGAGGTAATAGATACAAACCTAGACTCCACTAACAAACTACGCAGACAATCACATACTCTAACATCATTTATAGAATCAGAAGATCTATATGATACATGGAGATGTCTCCATGGTGACGAAAAAGACTACAAACTTCTCTCACTCCCAAAATTCATACTCACGGATTGATTTATTTTTAACAGATAAAAGATCTTTACAGCAAATATCTAGAACCGAAATTGGCTCCATCACATGGTCAGACCATGCCCCGCTCACATCAGAAATGTTTACAACACCATACACTAACAACCTCTCTGTATGGAGACTAAACTCAACCCTAATTACAAACCAACATTATAAATCTCAAATGGAGAAGGAATTACTCTCCTATTTCCATATCAATAACAATACAGAGGTCGATGATTTTGTTCTGTGGAATGCACACAAGGCATACATGAGAGGAGTACTCATCAAATTAGGTGCTTACGAAAAAAAAAAAAAGGAAAGCTAAAACAATTACAGACATATTATCACAAATTAAACTCCTGGAATCGCAACACAAACAAAACCCAGACCAAATGATTTTATCTCAGCTACACTCTCTACGAGAGAAACTAAGGCTTCAACTCATGGAGCAATATGACTTTATGATAAAAAAATTTAAATTTATATCATACACGCAAGCAAATAAAGCAGGACCACATTTAGCAAAACAATTTAAGCGATATCAATCCAAATCAAAAATTGCATATCTAAAAGACCCATCTAAGGGAAAACTTATAAATCCACTAGATATAGCCAATGCTTTTAGTAGATACTATGCAACACTATATAACATAAAAAAACTCTCAAGAATTTACACCTCCTACTGATAACCAAATCAATACATTTCTGGAATCACTCCAACTTCCTAAGATCTCCACAGAACAACTAGACTCCTTATCACAACCCTTCACCACCTCTGAAATTAATAAAATAAATAATTACCTGGAATTCCACTTTAATGTTGCTAAATTTTCACGCTTATTTTAAGAACACATTACCTTATGTCTGGTTTCCTTTAATTCATTCCTTCCCACCCCTCTGAGTGCTGCCTACCTGGTGGAATGCTTGTCACCTTCCTCTATTCAGCTATATTTTCTATGCTTCTCTTCAGCTTTGCCAGCAAAAAACATCCCTATCTAGTCTTTCTTGGAGTGCATGTGTACCATTCATTCCTATGGGTAAATCATACCCATGAGGACCTGCAGCAGAGTACAGTACCACTTCCCAATGGGAATGATTGCGGGTGAAACAGGCATGTGCACTACAAGGATGTTTTTTTGCTGGCCAGGCAGGTCCAAAGGATAGATTGTTGGGTTGAGAAGGTGGGCTGCACTTGGGGGTTGTATGTCAGGTTGACTAAGCCTGGGTTCACACTGATGTAGTGTGGAATTCGCAGCGGTTTCTGTACGAATTCCGCACTGCGTCAGATTGCACCCCGTTCATGTGAACTGCTGTGGATGTGTATGTTAACACCCCCGAAATCGGTCCACAAAACACGGTGCGATGTGCAGAATCGGATCGCATGGGTGTGAATACTCATGCGATCTGATTCTAGTGCAGACCAAAAAAAGGGTCCTGCACCTTTTTGGGTGTGGTGCGCTTAGAGCCATACAAAATGTATGGCTCCATTCGCACCGCACACAAATCGCATGTGATTTGCACAGGAATGCGGTGTGGTTCCTGTGCGAATCACATGCGATGTACCGTATGTGAACCCGGACGGTTGTATCAAAGGAACGGCTTTCTAAGAAGTTGCAAGTTTACAAAAAACACTGACGTAGAGTATTCAAGTGCAGTTTATAATTGCTTTCTCCTTGGTTTTTTAAGTTTGCATTGCAAATTTGCCACAAGTATATGTATATACTGCAGGGTGCAGTGTTTGTTTCTGCATGCACAACCACATACTTCCCCTTTGGGACTAATGGTATGCTCAGCATTTATTTGTCATGGAGCTTAGCATGCATGTTGGCAGTCTGTACACCATTTTAGAATGGCACGTACAATGGGGGGAGGAAACAAAATAATCTAGTGTAGTAATTGCCAGAGGCTAGTTTGGTGATTTTTCAGTAATGTATTATTTGCCATAGCTGATAATGTAATGCACCTTTTGTTTCCTTACAGCATTGATAAAATCTCCAAGATAACATCTCCTGTGCTGATCATTCATGGCACAGAAGATGAAGTTATTGACTTTTCCCATGGACTGGCACTGTTCGAGCGTTGTCAAAGGCCGGTGGAACCCCTTTGGGTGGAAGGAGCTGGACACAATGATGTGGAACTGTATGGACAATACCTTGAAAGGTTAAAACAGTTTGTCACACAAGAGCTTGTAAATTTGTAAAGTACTACTCGGTCAAAACAATCTCTCCCTGCGGCAAGGAAGGTTTGCGCCGACTTTCACAGCAGTGCATAGCAGCTCTCGCTGGCCACCAGAGAGTTTAACTGATCATGTTTCTCTTTTGTTTTGCTGGACTGTGAGCCATAGAAAGGTCCTATACAAACCTGAAGGTCTGTTTTGCAAATTATGTTGGTCGCCTTAACAGATGTACAGGTAATGATTTGTTTAAGGGGATAGCATGTCTAGAACATTTTCCTATATAATTTGTTTCAATCTCCTGTACAGTATTACAGTCAAGATCTCTTCTGTGCTGTCACTTATCAAGCAAAGGTGTATGCAAATATTTTAGAGGTTATAAAACATGTCGCAGAATTCAAGCATCCTAGATGACATTGGTACTAATTTGAAGGCAATTTAAAGGGAAGCTTCGCTATATACAAAACCAGCAGATACCTCAGTTCTTTTCACTGCTGGTTTATAGCCTGCACGTTCTTCATTATGTCAGACATTTACAATAGAATTAGAGCAGATCAAAATGGTACTTTAGCCAGCAAAATGGGTTTACAGTGGCAAGTGTCCCTTTACCGATTTTCAGCTATCACATAGGGAACCTTTAGCACCACACATTCAGGTGTACATTGCCGTCACAAGTCTTAATACTATTGCATGGTATCACGAAAGCTCTGTATATGAAATTTGCATGTGGTGTACACCTAGATAATTTTACTGACAGTCCCAAGCATAAAATAAAAAATATACCTGTAGTGGCAGTCAAATAGGAGTACAACATAACAGGAAAATGTCACTGGATGTACTGTCCCTTTTAACATTGGTAATGAAGGTTTTTATACCAGTATTAAAATGTGGAAATTAATCTGCTGTCAGGCTTTTGTCCTTTACCTACATCTGTGTAAATTTTTTTCTCTTTTTTTTTTTTTTTTTTTTTGTGTTTCTTTTGTTAAAAGAGCTCTTGAAAAAAAGGAAGCTCATCATATCAGCATGGCGCATCCATAAGTACTGTATCTAAGATGAGCAGTGTGATTAAATGGCAACAAACTGATTGTGAAAGTCCCCTTTTATTATTCACAAGGATAGTTCTTGTTTCCCATGTGCACAGAGACCCAGACACTCATATATCGGCTTCTGATGCATATGGGCTTTCTGAGAAAAAAAAATGATCAAACCTTATGTGATCAATTAATTCTTATGGAATACAAAACACATCAAGTGAGCAGAATATTGTTGCCAAACACATTTAACTATTTCCTTTTTAGCTTCTCTGGGATTATTGCAACCTAAGAAGCACAGCAAAACTGCAGCTTCACAAAGCACTGAAATGTTTAAGGTTCTGAACTAGAAGCTGTGATTTCATACACTGAACCATAAACCACTATGTCCACCCAAATGACTTGATCCAGCCAGATTTTGATGGGGGAGTTTCCATGTACAGTAGTATGAATGCACTTTTTACTGGTGTACATATTTTGAAATGTCATCCAAACAATATTTTCTTAAAAGGAAATTGACAGTTTTGCAAAAAGGTACAGCCTAACGCCACTGGGTCTGTAGCTGCTGCTGTTCTTTACTTCTTTGTACATGCGCTAAAAAGGGAATATTAAATCTTTGTTTTCTGTTGCTGAGCAACGACATGCTGGACTCTAAACTGACAGAACAAGCTTCCTTGGCCAAAATCTTTCATTAAAGTCAGTGGGGGTTTTCAGGCAGCCCCTTTGGACACACTGGGCTGGATTCCACATATTCCAAAGTGGGCCCTTGTTTTCTTTTCCTTTTTTTTTTTTTTTTTTCTTCCTTTTAGATTATATAACTTGCCAAGGTTTCTGTCTCTTGCAAAGCTAGAAGTGGTTTATTTTACCAATTTAGTTTTATCACTGAATATCAATTTAACAGAGCATTGCTACAATATGTGTAGGTTTGGTTAATGCTCTTCAAGTTCTAGTACCACTATAATACCACTAACTGGCCAGTCAGCTCAGTTACTGGTACAGAGCATTTCAAATGTTAATTTGAAACCTTGTTCCAGTACAAGACAGCGGTCTATAGACCTCGCTGACTCTTATGTTGACCTTAACAAAACTTTGTTTTTTGTTTTGTTTTTTTTTTTGCAGACAAACTGCATGATTCTGCAAATTTTTGGAAATATTTTTTCACTTTAGTTTACAAAATACTTTTTAATTTTTGTTTTATATAAACAATTTTTTTTCTTTAAGTTGCTTGTCCTTCAGTTTAGGTTGGCTTCAAGATTCAATAATGAATGCAACTGCAGTTTAATGATATGTAGTACAAATTGTGAATGGATAACACTGTGGATACATATAAAGGCCTTATTTAGTGTCATAATTGTCGTGGCTGTCTGGGATTGTATAAAGTTTAATCATGTATTATAAAACTTGCATTGGTTTAGATGTGACCCAGTAAATTCTATAACTACCTTTATGGTGTACTTGTGGTTTTTTTTTTTTTTTTTGTTTTTTTTTATATGTGTTTTGCTTCTTAAAGGTACTTCTTTGTTTTGTAAGGTCTTGTTAATGTGCATTTGGTTTATGCTATATAAAATATACACAATAGGATTTTTACACCTCTCTAACCCTGTTCCACTGATCTGCCAAACTGAAGAGGGAAAATCTGTCTGGATACGTCACAGCCTCTTCATTGACTCACTCTGTTCTCTAATGTAAAGAATGTCTGACTCCTGTGTGCGTCACAGAGAAGTTTCCAGTCTCCACAGATGTGAATGTAGCAGCATTCCTATAAAAATAACATTTATTAGAACTTTCTTCAGATTGCTTCTGATTATCAGATGAAAAGTAAAAGCTAAATGCTAATGTAGGTATTGCCTGTACATTCTTGGATTGTATTCGTTTTATATAACACGTTTTTAATTGTTTGCATACATGAATAAGGAACAGATGTATTCAGACTACAAAAAGCATTGTTACTCGATAGGAAGTTTTTTTATTTAGATCAAAATAACATTATATACATTTTTCTCTGGTGAAACACCACTTGCCAAACCCAATGTATGTCATTAGTGCAAGTAATCTCAGTAACGTTTTAGAGGTCTTCATTAATTCCTGACATGTTACATTATACAGCGGCAGTGTAGAAGTGTATATTAACTTTTTAAATCTGCACTGCTCGCTTCAAACAAATTGAAGTGAGAAGGGTAAAGGAGAGGTTCAGGAGCTCACAGAGGATGTCATAAGGAATCAGAAAAACACAATTTCATGAAAAAAATTACAGGCTCTTTAAGTAGTGGATGAGTAATAGAGTATTTTTTTGAAGAATAAGGATACTGTTTAGTGTCCCTTTTTAAGAGACCACTCACACAACTGTAGAAATCAGCCCTTGAGCCCCACTCAGGATTCTTTTGTTTAGGTGGAGAGGAGAAATCTAGGAAAATGTCACCAATTGCCTATGTGTGTGTATAAAGAATTAAGCTTTGTAACAAAAAAACTTTAAAAACCATGAACTCAAAACAGTAAAATCAATCAGTAAAGCATGCTTGTTATACTCACTGTGGTACTTAAGGGGTTAATACTCTGCATTGTGTAAAAAGGATGTTGGATGTTGACTTCTCTGTTCCTCCTCTTCTTCCAGTGTCCCTGACTCATCTCCTGATAGAAGAGAGCCTTGGGGGCAAGCTGCACATGCTCACTTCTAGAGAGTTTTTTTTTTTTTCTTGGGAGGGTGCATGTGATCAGCACATGGACAATCGGCACTGTCCAGACAGGGGGTCAGGGGTAATGCAGCCTCATAAGACAATCAGGGGAGAGTACTCCTCCTACAAGCTTTACCCAGTGGTCTACTGGACACTGATAAAAGTCACAAGACTGCTCCAACTGCTGATGAGAAAAGGTGATTATTATACAGTATTTATACAGCGCCAACAGTTTGCTCAGTGCTGTACATTACAGTGGGAGACCGTACACGAGACAGTACAGTAACAATTCAATTTGATACACGAGGGGTTCGAGGGCCCTGCTCCTTGGAGCTTACAATCTAGGAGGGAGGGAATAGTGGTACAGGAGGAAATAGCTGTGGGGGATGGAGTGGTAGGAAGAGTGGAGGAGATCGGCAATTAGCTGAGGGTGGGGTAGGCTTCCCTGAAGAGATGGGTTTTCAGGGTGTGCCTAAAGAAGAGGAGGGTAGGTGATAGTCTGATGGATTGGGGTAGGGAGTTCCAGAGGATGAGGGAAGTCCTGGAGCCGAGCATGGGAGGAGGAAACCAGGAGACTGGAGAGTAGGAGGTCTTGCGAGGAGCGGAGAGTACGTTTTGGGTGGTATTTGGATATCAGGTCGGTGATGTAGTTTGGGGCAGTGTTATGAATAGCTTTGTACGTCAATATTAGCATTTTGAATCCATTGGGCAATCGGAAGCCAGTGGAGGGATTAGCAGAGGGGGGTGGCAGATACGGAGTGGTTAGTAAGGTAGATGAGTCTGGCCGCAGTATTCAGGATAGACTGAAGTGGGGATAGCCTGTGGTGAGGTCAGCCGGTGAGGAGGTAGTTACAGTAGTCAAGTCGTGATATGATAAGGGAGTGAATGAGTTGCTTAGTAGTTTCCGGGGTTAGGAAAGGACGTATTTTGGAGGTGTTGCGGGGGTAGAGTCTACATGAGTTTCAGTGATTGGACCTGGGGCTGGAAAGACAGATTGGAGTCCAGGAAGACTCCTAGTACTCTGGCTTGCGGGTTGGGACTGATGCTGGCATTGTTGGTCGTGATGGAGAAGTCGGAGGGGGGAGTGTGTGGGCTGTGGGGAAAACTAGGAGCTCTGTTTTGGAAAGGCTTAATTTGAGGAAGTGGAGTGACATCCAATCCGATATGTCGTTCAGTAGGTTAGTGATTCGGGTGGAGACTGAGGGGGTGAGGCGAGGGGTAGAGAGAGATTTGCGTGTCATCGGCATAGAGATGGTAGTTGAAGCCGTGAGAGTGTATCAGGGAGGAGGTGTAGGTGGAGAAGAGAAAGGGGCCCAAGGACAGA